TTTTTTGAGACAGAGTTCTGCTCTGTCACCGAGGCTGGAGTGCAATGGTGCGATCTCGGCTCACTGCGACCTCCACCTCCCGGGTTCAAGCAATTCTCTTGCCTCAGCCTCCCAAGCAACTGGGATGACAGGCGCCCGCTACCACGCCTGGCTAATTTTTTTTGTATTTTTAATAGAGACGGGTTTTGCCATGTTGGCCAGGCTGGTCTCAAACTCCTGACCTCAGGTGATCTGCCTGCCTTGGTCTCCCAAAGTGTTGGGATAATAGGCGTGAGCCACCTTGCCTGGCCTCTATGATCCCATTTATATGAAAAATCCAGAATAGGTGAATTTATAACAACAGAAAGCAAATTGGGGGTTGTTAGGGAATGAGTGGGGAGGGGATAATGGGGAGTGACTGCTTCATGGGTAAGCTTAATGGGGTTTTCTTTAGGGGTGATATAGGTGGTGGCAGCACAACATTGTGAATCTGCTAAATGCTGAATTTTACACTTTAAAATGTTAATTTTATGTTATGTGAATTTCACCTCAATTTTTTAAAAAAGTGACAGATAGTGGGCTATTGGAGGATTTTAGAGGTAGAGAAGATGTAGGCAATTCTGAGGTGAGAGGAAGCCATAACAAAGAGGTGGTGAGGTTGAGGTTGGGAAGCTTAATGGACCAGGATAAAATGTCAGTGTATTGGATGGGTGATCTTCGTGGACCGTAAAATTACCCAGCAAGATGGCAGGACTTGAGGTAGAGTGGAAGAGAATGTACAGTGCCACAGTCTTCAGATGATGTGCAGATTGTACCCAAGAGATTGGTAGATGATGCTGACAAGGAAACGTACAGGTCTTGATAACAGGATGGTTAGAGACTCAAGAGAGACCTGTCAACCTGAGGGGCCAGGAATAACATTTTGGGAGCTTTGCTGGGGAGAGTGAAGAATGCTGCCCTGGCCTGGAGGGAAATGGATAGTTCTGGAAGATACTTAGGTTTTAAATGAGGCAAGAAGCAGAGACGGCAGGCTGTGAGGACAAGGGAAGTCGATTAATCCCTTGTTATGGAATGGGTTCCCATGGGTTTTGTGGTTTAACAACTTGAATAGTGGCTTGTTGACAGTTAAGGTATACACCTGATGTCATCAACTATGTACTCTGTAAAAAGGAAGATAGAAGGACATTCACAATATTTACAAATTCTACATTTATAAATATTGCTAATAGGAAAAATGTGGTTTACCAATAATTGCATTTAGTCCTATGTGAGTTAATAGTGAGTTCTTGAATGGGGACATGGCCATTTTGCTGTCAAGCTGAGTAAGCACAATGTTTAGAGGCTTTGGCTCCAGCTCCGACTCCCTGTCTTGTCTGCTGAAGAACTCACTGGTTCTCAGTAGAAACAAAACTATTCAAGAATTTGTCCTGTCTAAACACATGAATCAGCAGATTCTTTGATCTCTACAGAGAACAGAAATAAGGTTCTTTAGTTTGTTGTTGTTGTTGTTGTTGTTGTTGTTGTTGTTGTTGAGACAGAGTTTCCCTCTTGTCCAGGCTGGAGTGCAATGGTGTGATCTTAGTTCACCACAACCTCCATCACCTGGGTGCAAGTGATTCTCCTGCCTCAGCCTCCCGAGTAGCTGGGATTACAGGCATGCGCCACCACACCCAGCTAATTTTGCATTTTTAGTACAGACGGGGTTTCTCCATGTTAGTCAGGCTGGTCTTGAACTCCTGACCTCAGGTGATCTGCCTGCTTAGGCCTCCCAAAGTGCTGGGATTATAGGTGTGAGCCACTTCGCCGGGCAGGCTCTTTAGTTTTTAATATTGAAATAAGTCCATTCTGCAAATAGCTGTTTCAGGCAATTAACAACTATTTATTAACTACCTAGGATGCCCCCAAAGTCCTTTGGGAAAAATAAAGAATTGCTGAGATTGCACTTGGAGAGAGAAAAATAGTCACATGATAACATTAAATAACAATAAAACACATCTATCTCAAAGAGTGGATGATTTATTTCCAAATGACAGCTATAGACACAAACATGTCAGGATTCATTGTAGGGTAGTGAGATCTGGAAAGGCTGCATGGCACCAAAGTAGGTCATGAAGGCTGGGGAGAAGCTATAATGCTAGTTTGGGTGGAAGAACAGCCTAAGACTAGCCATAGGGGCAGGAAAGCCAGCGTATAGCTACTGACCTCTGAGTATTTTCATAAGATTACTAGATGAAATGTTATGGATATAGTTGTTAGGATTCAGCTGAGACTCAGCAGTTTTTAAGCCTAACTAACCCATTGCCATTTTTAATAACAAATATTTTGTTTTGCTCCCTTTATTGCATAATATCTTTTAAAATGGATATATAATGATCTGACTCTAAGGAATAAATAAAAGTGAAATTATTTTTATTTATTTATTTTGAGACAGAGTCTTGCCCTGTCACCCAACTGGGAGGTGTGCGCCACCACACCTGGCTACTAGTTTTTACTTTTATTTTTTGTAGAGATGGGGTTTCACCATGTTGCCAAGGCTGGTCTGGAACTCCTAGGCTCAAGTGATCCTCCTGCCTCGGCCTCCCAAAGTGCTGAGATTACAGGTGTGAAGCACCGTGCCTGGCTTCTAACATCATTTGTTAAAAAGTGCTGTTCTTTGTTCATTGGATTGTCTTGTCAAAAGTCAATGGGCCATAAATGTGAGGGTTTGCATCCACTGGTCTATATGTGTATCCTTATGCCAGTACCAGGTCTCCAGTGTAGTTTTGTAACAATCTCTGAAATTAAGAACTGTGAATCCTTTAACTTTGTTCTTCTTTTTCAAAATTTTTAACTATAAAGGGCCTCTTTAATTTCCATATGAATTTTAGGATCACTTAGTTAATTTCTGATCCTAATTTTGATAGGGACTGTATTGAGTCTGTAGATCAACTTGAGGATTATTGCCATCTTAATAATATCCAGTCTTCCGATCTATAAGCATGGGGTATTTTTCTGCTTAATTTAATTAATTTATTTGTTTATTCAATTGGTCTTCTTTAATGCCCTTCAAAAATATTTTGTAGTTTTCAGATAATAAATTTTGCATTTATTTTGGCATTTTTCCTAAGTATTATATTTTTTATGATATTTTAAATATAATTGCTTCCTTAGTTTTATTTTCAGATTGTGCATTGCAAGTGTATAGAAATATAATTGATTTTTGTATATTGATCTTGCATCCTGCATCTTGCTGGATTCATTTACTAGTTCTAACAGTATTTTAGTGTATTCTTTATGGTTTTCTATATATGAAATTTTGTCTTCTGTATTAGAGATAGTTTTATTTCTTCTTTTGAAATCTGGATGCCTTTTATTTTATTTTCTTGCCTTGTTGTCCTGTCTAGAGCCTCCAACACAATGCTGAATAGAAGTGACAAGGTGGTTATTCTAGTTTGCTTTCTGATCTTAGGGAGGAAGGCACCCTTTTTTCATCATTAGCTATAATGTTAGACTGTGGGTTTTTATAGAAGCCTTTTATG